CCCCCCCCCCCCCCCCCCCCCCCCCCACCCCAGTCTCATAAAATAACACAACCATTGCCAAGGGAAGAGAGCCATGTTAGAATTCCCTGAAATAAATGGAAAATAGAACCCAGCTTGCAGTTCAAAGCTCATAGATCTATTCCGTAAAAGAATGGGAATAGATCCTACGGGATCCTAATGTTAAACTTAGGTCAGCTGTGGCTGGAATCAGCTGTGACCTAAAGCTAAGTGGATCTAGGTGTTTATTTGTGTGGCTAACCTCATGCTTTCATTTTCACACAGGATCCCCCGGATCCAGAAGAGGAACCTACAGCCAAGGTAGACCTGCTATTATGTCCCTTTATGTCTGTAGCTCTCTTTATGCAGTGCATCAACAAAGCAGGCTGTACTTTTCCAGCAATAACCCATTCACTGCGGCACCAGTTTCCTGCTGTTATCTATTGGCAGCTGATGAGTATAACAATGCTGAATACTGGATTTAGATTCATCAGGTGGACAGAAAAGAATTCCGAAGTTTGCTAACATGTTAACTGATACAACGTTATAAAGTGAGATACACTCATGTATGTCAAATGTTTTTTTCTTTCAGCTTTTCCTGCTGCCCTAAAGTCCCCTAAATGATCAATTAAGGCAGTTTAAAGGAACAGTGTGTAGGATTTAGCAGGATTTATTGAAGAAATTGATGATAATATCCATAACAAGGTGGTTTTATTAGTGGAAAACCACCTGAAACTAAGTCGTTGTGCTTTCGTTAGCTGAGAATGAGCCCTTCATATCTAGACAGGGAGCGGATCCTCTTCTCGGAGTCCGCCATGTTTCTACAGTAGCCCAGAACGGACAAACCAAACACTGGCTCCAAAGAGAGCCTCTTATGTTTCTACATTACCTGAAGGCCACCGTAGTTTTCCGACATGCGTGTAAATGAAGGGGTAATGTAGTGTAATAGTGTAGGGGTAGTGATGGGATGGGATATCCAGTTGGTTGCAATCTGCAACCTCATCGCTAGATTACACTAAATCCTACACACTGCTCCTTTAAGTTCATGTTGAATTTACCGCTGATTAAAACACATTTTTAGCCAAAAGATAGACATGCCAGTAATGTTACATAACATAACACATCATTTATGTACCTGTTTTTTTAGAGTGGTTGGGAAAAAAATTAAAACTCATCTGGAGGAAAACATTCATACTTTTAGTCCGATTTGGAACATGAGCTAGTGGTGCCTCTTGTGGCCGAAATGAACAAACACAAAAAAAAACAAAAAAACTTCTTAAGTCATAAACACAGGAGAGAAATCAATTTTGAATCAGACGTAGAAAATGAATCAACAGAATCTTTTTTTCTCACTTGGGAAAAGCTGACTTGATCTTTGTGCAACAGGCGAGTGAACACAAGTTCTGAGACCCTGCAAGTCTTTTATTTGGAAAAACTGAGCTACTGAAGTACAATTTCAGGCAAATCTTCAGATTTTTTTTTTTAATGTTGAGTAGATACACCTATTGTAAATTCAAAAAACAATATTTAAATAATAAAGGCTCTCTCTGCAGCTTCGGTAAAGGCCCCGGACAGTAGTTGATCATTTACAATGTACACTAAATGGTAGTAAGAGGAAGTAGGAATAGGATGTTGATTGTTGTTGATTGTTAAATGTTATGCACCACCCGTCATGTCAAATTCCTTGTATGTTCAACATACCATGGCAATAAACGGTTTCTGATTCTGATTCTGATACGGGTGAAATAAACAATAAGCCCTTGTCTGCCTCTCTGTGTATCACCACTACATTCCTGGTCCTCTGCTGTGTTTGTCTTCCAGAACAGTCAATCAAAATGTTCATCCGAGGCCGGCCGATAACCATGTACATCCCCTCTAACATCCAGAACTATGAAGACCTGAAGATGGAGCCGCCCTCTGAGAGACTGGAGTTGGACTGGGTGTATCCTTCCTAGACCGCCACAGCGGTGTTCAGCCTCTTGTTTATATTCATGAGGGTTATGTTACATTTGGACAGTGCTGATATCACTGTGTGCTCGTTTCCTGGATTAAAGCCACACTGTCTGTATTTGAAAGTATCTCTCTAATTGTCCAGTGTCTGTGAGAGCAGATTAACTGTTTGCTGTGACGCTGTGGGAGTCATATTTTTAAAGGGACAGTTTGTATAACCTCAAATGTTCACATGCAGATTAGTTGATAATGACCCAGTTTTCATTGTTGGGTGAACTGTTCCTTTGAAGGAATGAAATGGACCAATGATTAACATGAATGTCACCTTGACTCTGCCATGCCAGCTATGGGTACCGGGGCCGGGACTGCCGGGCCAACCTGTACTTCCTTCCTACGGGTGAAGCGGTGTTCTTCATCGCCTGTGTGGTCGTGCTTTACCACATCAACAACCGCACACAACGCCACTATCGCAAACACACCGATTGCGTCCGCTGGTCAGTGGTAGACAGTTTTTATCATCCGCAAATCAAATTAAACATACTTATGTACTTCTACTTGAAGAGCTGAACTAGATGCGTTTTCCTAAACCTAACGGGGTAGTTTTGCTTAAATTCACAATGGTAACCACCTGTTTAAAACCATCCATATGCGACTTTTGACTATTTAACTTACGCAGCGTAACTTAATTCACAAGAACATTGCGTTAAATGACACGGAAAAGTTGACATGACAGGCTAAATGTTCTTAAAATTGGCCTGTTATTTATACGCCTTCCCATGAGATCACGTTGTTTTATCATATCGATTCAGTTTTGGACACCTGAGAACATGTGGTGTGTTGAAAAGCTTTGGACATACAGGCATACATGAATTCTATTAAAACATATTTAAATCATTACAGACCACTAGAACTTGTCACAACATCAAGTCCATCTAACCCTGTTAAGAGGTATCAACACACCTGTACGCCAAGGGCAAATAAAAAGTTATTTGCGTAAACCAATACAGAACTCACCCAAGTCTTCATGTGGCTGCTGGAGGCGGGTGCAGTATTGTGTTTACCAGAGATTTGGAGAAGAAATCAGCCCGCTGGCAGGTCACCACATGTCTCTGAACCACTTTAAGCACTAAACAAAAGAAGCGATTTCTGATCTGATGTCCCTTTTGACAGCTAAGAAAAAAAGGAAACAGGTTCACATCAGGTCTCAGAGGCAGGGAACTTCCCTACTGCGTGATGTCGTGATCATCATGCAAATACCATTTACACAGCCTTCAGTGGAGTGTATGGAACTCCAACGCCTGTTTTCCCAACAGATCACACTGAGTCCTAGTTCCTAACTGCCAAGCTCTCAACGTGAAGCCATGAATATGAGCAACCTGACCAAATAATGAGACGATCAAAGCATTAACACACATGTACTCAGGGAGGTGAACCCGAGTATATAGTTTCTAAACTGCTCTCAGACCAACCATCTATCATATAGGCATATTTATTTTCACATTTATACAGTATGAGTGTTTTGGACAAATTTATGATAAGTGCTAGAGATGCCAAATTTTACTAGTGCACATAAAATAGATATTTTCACCAACTTTTGGGGCCCAAAAGCCAAGGGAACACGGGGAAAATGGATCCAATTTCTGACTTGGCCACCTCACAAGTTCCATGATTTTTGCATGAATATATGGGAAGTAGAATAGATGTGTGCTTTTTTTATATATAGAGAGAAAAATAAAAGCAATGGGGGGTAGTGTAAAATACAAGATGTATTACTGTAGATTTAAGAGTTGTTAAAGTTGACTTACAACTTGTCCACCTGCGCCAGCCTCCTCTATGCTATGGTGGAGCATTTAGGTGCTAAAGAGACAGATTTTTTTCCTCAGAAGTTGGTGGAGACCAAAACCAGAGCTAAGAGAGTGAATATTGGACATGCATTCTTCAGGTGGACTCTGAATGCTAATGTTGTGTCTGTGTCTGCTGGATGTATAAATAGGCAACTATGTTCTCACACATTTACTATTATATGATGATAATATGTCAGATGGTACAGCTTATTTCACTGCTAACGAAAACACATAATTATTATTTTCAGCTGATTGTACACTAATGAAAACATATTTCTGCTAATAGACCCCCTAAATGTTACACACTGAACCCTCAAGTTTATTTTATTTTTTTAATATTACTTTTACTTTCCTAAAATTGGGGGGGCCATGTATAGAAATGTCTACAATTCCTCCACTGCAACTAAATTTAGAGTCAGCACTTCAATCTGTAGTAGTTGTTTTGTTTTGGAGTACAGAGCCAACACAACCAAAAGATGTCTCGCTGTATGAATATGTTACAGACTGCCCTTTATTTTATCACAAGTGTACTCGTTATTTTGACATGGTGGATACAATTACATATATGTAAATGTTGCGACTGGACAATATATGTGAATAGAGTTTTGTCCAAAAGCCCTGTACAACCGCTTATATTTATTTGGTTAAACACTTTTTGTTCTTCCTGCAGTCTTACCCTCCATCCTGACAAGGTGCGCGTGGCGTCTGGCCAGACATCAGGGGTGGATAAAGACGGCAAGGTAACTACTGCTGTGATACCAGTCTGATGCACTTTGATCGACTACATGTTCTTTATTCATATTTCTATATACTGTATTTCTGTACACTTACAGCATTAATGCATACGTCCCTTTTAAAGCCAGACATCTCATTGGTAACCCTAGTAACAACCCTGCAGATATACAGTGTTTTGCTGCGTTTCATTTTTTGACTGCATATAACCAGTCAGTAAAAAAATCTAAAACATTAGTTGGATTTTGGCTCCAAAAAACAGGGAGTGGTAGCTCTAACTGTTGAACATAGATGATAGTAAAGTGTGTGTGTGTGTGTGTGTGTGTGTGTGTGTGTGTGTG